CACGACTTCTGTGTCAGCTCCGGACTATTGATACCTTTGTTATATGAGAACACAATGTGATGTATTTCATCCACTCTCTGTTAACATTTTATTATTTACAGCACAGTGAAACTTTCAGATGTTGCAAGCTTACGTGATGAAAAGACCAAGAAGCAGACATTTTCTCAATGACTGCCCTTCCTAGTGAGGGTTCCAACATTCACCCACATGTCCATCTCTGAATCAGCGCAAATGGTCTGACAATCACATAAGTAAAGCTAAAAATGCTTGAGTATTAACATGAAATGGTTCTCCAAGAAGGAATTTAAAGGTAGAGAAGAAAACAATTTGTTTTAAGAAAAGAACACAAAGCATCAGAGGAAGAATGCTTTGGGCGGTTTTGATATCAAGGGATTTTTCAAAGAAACTTGAGTTCTGCAAATGCAGACCACACCTGTGGTGCTTGTGGAGAATAAATACCACCAGCCACTGGACCCATCCAGGAGACCCTCAAAAACAGCATTCTGTAGGAGCAGGACACTGCAAAAATCCATCTTATTTTCTGATTTGGGGCCAGAAGATCCCAATAGATGTCACTCTTTAATTTGTGATGAGTTTCTGCTGGTGCTTGTAAGGGAGTAAATTCATGCTTGTCAAGGATTGAGAACTCAAAGGAAAACATGCAAGGGAAGGATGTGCCATGCAACCCTGGGCTTGAGCTTCTTCCACCTGCAGGGTCTTGAGGGGCTGAGGGGGATCTGAGCCCCTGTGAGGAGACCACTGTGCAGACTGTGAGGCCCAGGGCCATCCTCAGCAGGTAACACAGGCTCACACAACTTGTGTCATCTAAGAAGATCCTGACACTGCTCGACATCTACATGTGGACGATGGAGCCAGGTCCTGATCTCTCACTCAGTACAAAACTCAGCTGGAAATGGACCAAGAGCTTTGCTATGAGATTGGAAACCAAAAGCGTTAGGAGAAAACATAATGGGAAACACTTCAAGATACAGGCACAGGCCAAAGCCTACTGGATAGGACTCTAATAGTCCAGGAAATAATGGCAAAATTGAAAAAATGAGATTGCAACATATTAAAAAGTTTCTAAACTACAAAGGAAGCACAGTGAAAATATACCATAGAAAACAAGACACATTTTGCCAACTACACTCTGACAGAGTTCATATTCAGAATATAGAAAAAGCATAAAAAATCTACCACAAAATACATAAGCAATAAGTAGGCAAATGGGCTGAATGGACACTTTCAACAGTAGTATAAATGGTCACAAGGCCTATGAAAATATATTCAATACTTTTACCCATCAGGGAAATTAAAATGAAAATGATATTGAGATACCAATTTGCCTATTTTGAAATGGCTATTATCAGCAATGAAAATATAATACTTGCTATAGAGATGCTTGAACAAAGAAACCTTTCTACACTGTGGGTAGAAATGTATGCTAGTAGCAGCACTATCAAGTTCAATAGGGAGTTTCTCCAAAAATTTAAAACTTAACTTATCATTTCATTCAGCTCTTCCTTCCCTCAGTATATACCTGAGAAATATTACAGCTCACTGTAGAGATAAATGCTTTCCTATGCTTATTTTGGTGCAACTCACATTAACTACAGTGTAGAAAACCCTAGGTCCCTGATGATGGATTAATGGGTGAAGGGGAGTGACATATATGCAGTAGAGGATTTTTTGCTTCAAACAGAATAAAACTATACATTGACAGAAAAACTGCAATCAGAAACAAATAAGCCACTCTAAGAAAGAAAGCTACATTGTCATGTCTCTCACATATGCAGTTATAAAAGAAAAGACAGAAAGAGAGAGAGGATATGAAATAGTGCAAGAACTGTGGGAGAAGTGGAGGGAATGAGGGTATCAGGATGAACGTGTCAGAGGATAACCAGGATGAAAATGGCCAATTCTGCATGCAAGTACAGATATGGAAAATTGAAACCCATTATTCTTTATAGCTAATATATATTAACAGAAAAAGAAAGGCAAGAAAAGGCAGCAAAAATTTTGCTTATTAAGAAACATTAAACAACCATGTGACACACACTGTGAAGCATCCACTAAAGGTATTGTAAAAATAGGAAAAACACTTTCACCTTTGATAGCCCAGAGGACACAGCCACACACACATTCCCAAGATGACCTGTAACTGAAGGTCCGAGGAGAAGACTTTACACCACCTCTCACCTACAGTCTTAATGGGAGATTTACATGGATTTGTGTGTGACTATATTACCTATATTGCAAAATAAGTTTTAAAATCTCATGGTGATTGGAGATTATTAATTATTTCTAATGTTTAGAAACATGGAACAAAGCATGCAGTGAATTTGGACTCCTTCATCACCATAGAAATTGGTGTAGCAGCATGATTTCTTGAGGACCACATTTCTAAAGAGGGATTCAGGGCTTGAGAAAAATATCCCAGGGTTTCAAAACCAGTAAGATTATTCCTTAGCATAGAAGACATTCACACAAATGAAGGGGCAAGGTAGATATAGTGACTCGTGATTTCTTTAAGAAAAAAATCAAATAAAGTTAACACACACACAAAAAAAAAGAACAAAAGAAAAAGAGAGAGACTGAATTTGATTTTTTTGCATCACAGAAATTTTAATTCTTATGTTTGCACTTGGCCTTGCTTGTGTCACTGGGAATCTTGCTCAAATCCTGTGCCCTGCTTTCCTTCTAGTGAGGATAAATTAGCATATCACAAACAGATATTCACTCATTTCTGGCACAAATATTTCGACTATGCACTTGGTATCCACTGCACCTTCACATACCAAGGATACAGGTGCAGTAGGATAGAATTAACTTTTGTAAATGGGGATCCATCTGTCTTGTGGCTTAATAGGCACAGAATACATCAGCTGCTCATGACAAAGACCTTGCACTCCAATGGGCACAGTATGGCAAGGTGACCCTTGTTCTGCCCATGTGCACTGCTGGGAAGAGCTCGGAAAACAGAGTCCCCAGTCTGATCATCATTTATCATATTTCTGTGCATAGAGCAGGACTGGGACAGAAGCAGGAAGTGACCCATTCTGTGTCCCAGAAACCTGTCCCTACTTTGATGCACAGCTTCTGCACAGCTCTGTAGAACGGAAACTAGACACAGAGACTCGCTGGCTGTTCAGTTCCTCAGTGCACATCCTTGCTGTTAAAGTCATTAAACCTAATTGAACCTGAAAAACTTCTGAGTAATCATATATGGTAATTATGCATCGAGAGGAAACGTTGCACAGCAGGGACTGAGAGTCACTGAGGGTGTCTTTCTCCCAGGCAGGGAGACAACTATGAAATTAAGTTTTGCTGACACTTTATGACATCTATAATCTGTATAAATCATGGACTTACAAATATGACCTGGGGAGCCTCATCTCACCAGAAGGACCGACCTAGCTCTGGTCTACCTTACACACCCAAGGTGTGCAGACCTGACCAGTCTTTCATTAACACACACAGGCCAGGTAAACTTTTTCTTCAAGGTCTAAAGTGTGTGGTCCAGCAAAAGAGCAGTTGAGGGGGACTATGAGACTTAAGGTCTTCAGTCTTCTTTAGATCTTAAAAGATGAGGACCACAGGCCCACAGAAGAAGGGCACCAGCTCCAAGAAAAAAAGTGTCTTCTAGAAATTCTGAGGCACCTCTGTGTTCAGCATCTTACAGGATCGGGAAACTCTCTGGTAGATCATTGTATAAGGTTTTCTTTTTGCTTTCTTCTGGCAATCAGGATGGTTTAGGAGTCTTTCAAGTTTCTAGGAAAACCTTTGTTTCTCTCAGTCTGACATTAGCTTGTTCAATGGACCTGTCACCATTGTTATCTTTCCCAAAATTGGTCTGTTTCCATTACGGCACATTTCTGAATGTAAAGATGGGTGAACACTGCAAGTTTGCACTGGGTTTTCAATGCCCCAAGTGTATTTCTGTTTGATTTGACTCTTTCCTCTCTATATATATGGTCATAAATCCTCAATGTGTAGTTCCACAATATTAACCCATAATAATAAACCCATAAATTTAGTATTCTGCTATTTTATAGAGGATCTACTATCAACTATGAACTACAAAATTATCTTACTCTTTGGAGAATTCTCACCATGAAGGTAATAGTGAGTTACTGAAACAAAGAATAACACATTTTAATGTCAGTGTAGTTTTATGCAGCAAGGAAGGTTAACATCATTTTTTGTTGAAAACACTGAGCCTGAGGCTCCTACCTCTTTGCTCTTTTTGCTTTTGCTGTCCTCCACTGCCATAAACTGTTCTCCTCTGCCATGCCACCCTGCCTTGGAGCCGCCTGATTACGGAGTGAAACATCTACAAAATGTGAGCTAAGTAAACCCTTCCTTCATTAATAACAAAGTAAAAAAGCTAAGCCTGAGATGGATGCTGCTATCAGCCTGAAGAGTTAGGTGTTAGAACTAGCTAGAGAATCCCACATCTAGCACAATACAATGCTTATCTTTTAAAACTGTTTATGAAAGAGATTCCCAAGACTTTCTGGGAGAATAGCCAGTTCCTCTTCTCACATCTTTACTTCAGTAAAAATAAAGAGACTTCATTAGGTGAATTCTCATCACCCGCTTCAGATACGACTCAAGCCCTTGGAATAGAGGGAGATAAAGCTCAAAAACATCTGAGTTAAAATTTTGATTTTTAATATTAGTCATGAATGTAGCATGATAGTGTTTGGAGTCACAGGAAAAGAAAGAGTTGTTAGGCAAAATACTTGCAGAATTACATATAACGTGATTGTATCTTACACACCAGGAAAGTGCTATGAGGTAAAATATTTTCTTCAGATACAAATCATGGTTGGTGCTTTTTCCAAAAAGACATCACCTGGATATACATTTTTCTGCTAATAAGGTAAAAAATGTACTTCCACATTATCAACACAACAGTCTGGACTTCTCTAACTGGACTTGGTATATTAGGCAATACATCAGTTTTTGTGATTTGTATGGGCAATTTCAGAAGAGCCATGAAGAACGAATTACTACAGGTCATTCTTATCCATTTAGTAGTCACAAATATCTTGATGCTTGTTTCCCAAGGAATACCAAGGACAATAGCAGATTTTGGTATAAGAAACTTCCTAGATGACACAGGCTGTAAGATTGTGTGTTACCTGCATAGGGTGGCCCGGGGCCTCTCCATCTGCACCAGCAGTCTCCTCACG